GTCAATTGTAATTTAGGATGATGCCTTCTTCCCATTAAGGTAGTAGAGCAGTGTGCTAAAGCAGTGTGCTAGCCAGTAAGTTTTGATTCCTCTTCCGATATTGCATAATTGGTGATGATATAGCGCTGGGTGATATAACGTCTCTTCATGTGTCGCCCAGTGTATGTACGTGAAATGATCACACAAGCAAATTGCCATCATAAGCTTAGTCAGTACCAGGGCCTAAGAAATAGTTATAAACCGACGACATACTCTCCAGTTTCTTTTTTTTTCTTTGATGCAAGTTACTTGAAGATATACTTGTGCCCAACATGGCGTCAGAATTATCGTATACCCTCCAGCCTATTGACCTGGATACTCCGCCACATGAGTCTTTGGAGACAAGTCGGAAAAGCTTCTTCCCTTGCCAGCCACCAGTGAGCCATGCATCACCGCCAGCCCCCATCATGCGGCCTCAAGTCAAAGAAGAGTTGGATCAAACAAGATCAGACGGAGCACAATCTAGCGGCAAGTCCTCAATGGGAGATATATGGTCTTACGTTCCAGCGTGGGTTCCAAACAGTTGCAGAGTTCCGCAGCCCAGGGCTCCGCAGCCCGTTTCTGGCGTACGTGATCAAACCCTTTCGGCCATCTCATATCGCTCACACTCGCAAGCACTTTCTTCTGGTAGCCACTTCCCAAAGACCCCCATTGCTCAAATGGCAGGGTCCAAACATAATGAGCGACGCTACCAATCTTAATGCCGTCTTCAAATTTATAAGAGAGGGTTTGAGCATATACTGGATGGGGTGGATAGAGCTTCACATTACTGGGTTTTCTCCACTCCACTTCCCGCCGCGTCCATCCTGGGGGCAGGTCAAAGCATTTCATCAAAACATCAGTTTGCATCTGTCGGACTGTGATGCTCTTCAAGCGGTGCGCAATAGAATTGTGGACCACGACAGGGTCCACAATACTCCTTTCATTCAAGTTGTTATCCGTGTTCTTCCCCCTCCACTGATATGGGTGCAGTGAAACAAGCTTCAGCATTTTATTTATTTGGCTGCTTCATACCTGCTCTTCTACCAATATTTTTTTTTTTTTTGAGATATCGCGAGATGTTCGTCCACGGTGAGAGGTATGCTCTCAAATTTCAATTAATTTCAATTTTGTGGTCGATATTCTTGCCCTCTCTGGCAGCCTGGTGGAATCTAGCCATACACCTTATAAACAACAATGAGCTCCCTGTTAGGGCGCGCCCCTGCGTGGCGCCTATCCGCATGCTTCACAACATAAAGCTCCTAATCTTCTTCGCATTTAGCCATACTTAAGTAGTTATTGCATAGTCCAGCACACAGATGCTCAGAAAAGAGCTAACGAAAGCACAAAATCGAGAATATTGCGGAGCATAATAAGCAGAAAATATTCTATCCACTCGCTTTCTGTACCCTACTCACACTTTTCGGACTACCTGAAGTAATACTTTGTTCCTGAGGTTGTCAATCCATGCGGCAAGTTGAGGCACTTGGAGAGAATTTATTTGTATGTCATCCTGCTAGTACATAGCTTAGAAATAGGGAGGCGGCATTTTTTTCGTATGTATGTACAGACTATCTACTGGTTGAGCAGAAACGACAATTCTGTGATATTGGACCGAGGTGCATAGACCCCTTATATATCACAAAAGCTAGCACTCAGCTTATACACTGAGGAGCGCCGTATACATATAACACCTGAATACAAGACAAAGAGCCTGATATCCGGTAACACGATATAGCGCATACGCGTAATTGCTTCATTTTCGCCGAATGATACTCGATCGACCGAACGAGATAGAGCCAACCCCTTCACGTAAGCGAAAGGGCCATGAGTTTGTCCGTGCCTGATGCATAGCCTGTTTCCTCATAGTCCAACAACAAAAAGCGATTTGTAGACTTCATTTTCTTCGCTGCGTATGTGATACATGGTTCGGGACAAGGGCAAATAGCCTCAATGATCGAAAGCTCAGGATCGGGACTTGTAACTACAACATAGGGATTTGTTTTCATACATAACGTTCATTCATCTTTTCTGATGCACGCGAAAGACGAGCGACTCCCCGTCGGGTTGGAATATGTGTTTAATAGCACAATCTACGTCATTTTCGGACAGCATATGCAAACTATATGTTCTAAGAACAAATGGCGTGCGAAGAGCCTTCATTGTTGACCAAGTGGCATTTCCAGTATCTTTGGTCAACTGTATCCGTTGAAAGCTTACCGAATTTTAGGTAGTGAACCATAGCGACCGAGTTTGCAAACTGACCAAATACGTTCGTTGGTGTCAGGGGCCAGTGCCATCAGCCGTCAGAAGGGTTTGATAGATTTCTCGAAGCCCGCCTGTCGTTTTCCGAGCCGGACCGGATTGCCCTGCTGCCGACAGTAAATATTGCAAAGACCCCAAGACTTGTAACATATACTGTCCCTCTCGGAAAGACATCCGTTTTGACTTGGATGCCGTTAGCTTTGTGCTTTTACCATCTGGGGAGAACAAACATTACCTCAAGCCACGCTGTCTGAAGCTCGAAATTATCAGCGTCCAGGTTTGTCTGCCCCATCTCGTCGCAATATTGGTGAATGATTCCAAAACCCTGAAAAATGTCCCCATTTTCCACTGTGGTCGGCGAATGAGTTCTAGAATCCACGCCAAGGAAGATTCTTTTGCTATCATTGTTTTGAAACACCATTTCAGTCAACCTTGTGCAGATTTTGACCATTTCTCTCCCTTTATCTTTACCGTCGCATGGCTCGACTGGGGTTGGTTTTGATTTGAGGTAAGATTTAATATATAAAATCCTATCTCTGGGCGCCGAGGAATGCCATAAAAATGGAAACGGATGTGGCCCCAAGCCAAAGAACCCCTGCATCAGGGCCCAGAAGTCCTGTTCACTGATACACCTTGATGATGTAGGTTGATCAAGATGATCATGTTCTAGGACCACTCTTTTGATGCTGAAGGCCATGCGAGATGATGAAATCAGGTCAAAAATGCTTGCTATGTGCCACCATGGCTGTACAACGATATCTCTAGCTCGGTAACAATACATACGCAGTGATCTCTGACGGTGGTGATACCATTTATGGTCTTTGGCCTTGAAAGTGCCATGTTTGATGAGCAGCGGCTCATAGTCGGGGTATACTCCACCGTCTTCTTCTCCAGATGCGTTGGGAACCGATGGACCTTGTTGGTGTAACAGTTGGAGCTCGATATCATTTGGAAAAGCAAGCTGTATATCACTTGCTGGCATGCAAGAGCACCACGATTGGCGGAAATCACCCATCTGTTGATTGAAATGGCGTGATTTTAAAGAGTGCACAAATTCGGGCATAATGGTCAGGGTCCTATCGTGAAAGCCTGTCCTGTCGAGGGTTTTCCTATCAGGGTCCATGCTGCCACCAAGAAAAAAGCGGTCGACAAGGCTCCAGACTCGAAGAGTTGATCCATTACTCTATATTTCCTTCGATCGCCTTATACAAAAGCTTGTAAGATTAATGACTTACGTTGCTGACACTATATTCCGTTGCAAGTAAAGCATGCTGTGTCTGATTTGGTCACCGGTCATAACATGTAAATCCATTCTTAGTTCGAATACAATGATATGTTTCTTGAGAAATTCATGCGAACAATCTAGCCAAAACTCGTGTTTGCAAGATAGAGAAGACCATTCTGAGCTATGTATCTATTTCGGGCAGTGAGATTCCATCTCCCTAACATGTGGAGAATTGAGATCCCAGCCTCTGGAAGGCTCCATTGCCTTGCCAGTCATCAACCTATCCGTCATTCCACCTTCGTCAGACATGATATTGTGGTAAGCGGGGTCTTACTTCGGTTGATGGATACGAAAATAGAGGTATGAGCCTCTTAATGCTGCTTTGGAACTTGAAACTTTGGTCGTGTAATTTACTGTATACTGCGGGGCCTGATTGTGCTGGAGGCCGCTGGAACAACGGAGTCTCAGCCAGATAATCAGGTTCAGGGGCTGCTCTCATGTTTCCGACGGATTGCAATCTACATGTACCCACTTCCGCTAAATTACCCATGTTTTCGGGATTAGATCATTCCTCGGATTTGATTTCGGTATAATCCGGGATAAAACTTTTCGTAGGTTAGAGCGTCGGCCTACCATAGGCGATGATCAGTTACGGTTTATTTCAAGAAAATAAATTGAGTGTAGAGTATTGGGGAACATTGTATATGAAATGACAGCTCTGTTAGTGATAGTGGTATATTTTTGGTCTTCAATTTAGGAAGAATGGCTTCAGGTTAGGCTCTATAAGCAGTACGACCGACTCTGGAAATAGAACGATAGCCAGACGATTGAATACATATCAAGTTCAAACACCTTGCTATAGGTTCAGAGGCCGCAAGGACGCAAATTCAAGATCTTGGAAATCGACATATTGAATGTATTTGTGGTTCATAAGTCCGCCGGCTTCTGTGAAACTATCCTAAGAAGGAGGTCCAAGATGAATGTTTGATCCGATGGCAAAACTGTCTCCGAGCAGACCAACTGACTCGCTGGTCTGAGGTCGATATAGGGTCAGTATATAACGTCAACATGGCCAATAGCCGTAACGTATTCAGGTAGGTCACGCTTTTCTTTTACCTTTCTTCTTTATCTCAAGCTACATTCATACTAGACGGTCACTGTATGCTCCTGTTATTATTGAGAGTATTCTGACATAATCTAGTGTTTGCAAAAATACACGAGTTATTAGTCGATCATTCCATTCTCAGCAACATTGTCAGATCTCACGAGACCTATCCATACTCTAAAGGATAAAGCCTTAGGCTTGGTCGTTTGGTCCGACGTAATCGACATGGCATCTCGTGTGCCCACAGATCACCAGACTACTCTATATAGTTATGTATGTAAATATCTTTGTGAGGATATAAGCCCATGCCAATAGCCAGCATTGGCAGCATCAACCTGTGTTCAATATTTCCCCACAACGGCCAAAATGATCACCACAGGGCATGCTATGCCACTGGGAAACGAAACAGTCAAGATTTTGATGCTTCATGGTGAGATACTCTCTAGTTGAATCCATCCGCAAATTTTGACTAACCGACGGACAAGGACATGGCCAATCCGACAAATCTTTTGAATGCAAGACGAGGTTTCTCCAAAAGACAGTAGAGCAATCGTTTCCCGCTGAACAAGCAAAAGGATCAGCTTCGAGCCGTGCTATCAGCTTCCGCTATCTCTCAGGACCGCTCCCTGCGAACCCCGACGAACCTGAAGACGGATGCCGGGCATGGGGATACATGGACTATAATTCCGAGCGAATCAAGGGCATCGAAGAGTCGATTCAGTCCATCAAGCACATCCTCGAACACGAAGGTCCATTTGTCGGAATCATAGGATTTTCATCAGGTGCCGCTCTAGCAGCTATTGTTGCATCACTTCTAGAGGGGAACAATACGATGCAGGGGCTCAACTTCAAGGTCATTTACACTCCCTTATCTCCACTTCTTTACCAATTACTCACACGAGATTAGATCGATCACCCGCCATTATCATTCGTGATCTCCTTCAGCGGATTCAGGCTGAAAAATCCCCATTATCAAACGGTTTATTACCGAAAAATCAAAACCCCAATGCTACACGTGATTGGAGAATTGGATCCAATGATCGAACCATCTCAAACGATTGACCTTGCGAACCACTGCTTGAACGCTCGAATTTTCGAGTTTTATGGCTACCATTATATCCCCCGAAATGAAACGCATTTCCCTCCATTCATGAGCAATTTTATTCGAAATGACGCGCTAGCTTACGTGGGGAGCGACAATGAACAAGACTGGGTTAACGTGGACTGACGTAAAGGGGGATTCCCAGCCACAAACTTGATTCGAATTGAACAAAGGCCAGAAGAGTATCAGAAACACTTACTGCTTTTCTTACACTCAGGAACAACGAAGAAAGGAAGGGAGAAAGACAATCTATCTACCAAAGAACAGAACTGTAGTCTAGCATCACCAGTATATAGAACGGTGAATTCTTATTGTCTCGATCGGATATTATTTTACTCGATGGGCTATCTTATTGAATAATGCTTCATTTCATAACATGATCCTTAAGAGAGTTAGCTCAAGAGACACAGATTACATCGGCAAACATAGCAGCCGGCAAAGCACCGGCTATGCTGTTCAAACATAAGAAAACGCAGTATATTACAGCAGCAGCAGTAGTATTATTCACTCACCCAGTCCCCTCGCGAGTTGAGATACTGGATTATGATACAAGTGTGATACCCCTTTTCCATTTATAGGGCATATACAGATATTTGTAGCCCTAGCGGGTGCCTGGGTGCTACCTACCTCGCACAGGAGCGACCTTGTGTCAAACTCCTATACTACCTATACATCACGTAACCTGGGATCCAACTTCGCGAACGATATACAGTATACGGCAACGATAGATTCGAGTCTGTACATTTAGAATGGTCCACTTCCTGACCTTCGTGTGAGCCTCCCAGCAGACTCGACACGCTGTTCAACGCGTCCCCAACACTTCTTCTTAATCCTATCCGCAGGTCTCGTAGTTTTGGACAATCTAGCAAGGAGAGATTGTGGTTTGGAAGAAGGTGATCAGGTCGCTGGCGTCTTCAGTGAATCTGGGTGGGATATGATTGCCGCCCCACATCGGATGATGTCGGTTGAAGTCGCCCGTAATAATAATGCTTGCAGAGCGCTGCTCTTTCTGTGCAGGGGCTGTGATGGTGTTTTCTATTGCAGTGAGCACGGGCATTGCTGACGCGTCGTTGGTCGTACAGAGTGGTACTGGAGGTACGTAGGCAGAGAATAAAAGAGTCTGAGAATCGGCTGTCCAGATCTTGATGGCTGCTACATTTCGGTGGTTGCAAGGTATCTGGTGGTGATTGATGAGTGCTTCCATTCTTGGTCCTGATTTCATGATTCTCCGCTGAAGGATACGTAGGTTGCTCTCTGACATTGGCTGGGCTGGAAGGTCGCAGGGGTTAGACATCGTCGATCTTCGGTAGCGTGCTCACCCCCACAGTATCCGCACCGCAGGGTTTCCTTGCATGACCATGTCAGGTGTCCGACCCGTTGACACCGGAAATTCGAATGAGATAGCCAGTTTTGGCGGTGCCAATTCCTACCTCTTGGGCGTCTTGTGTTGTGGGTGTTGATGGTATCTGTGGGGACATATCGCCCAAAAGCGTTTCCGTCGTTGTTGTCATTATCTCTTGGGTCTAAAAAGGTTCTCTGGATGCTGATTCGGACGCAATCTTGCCCTTTCTTGGGCTTTTAATGGTTCAGCGGGGGTGTGATCTTGCCGCCGCTGGCTGCGACTGCCGCCCAGGTCCTAGTCGCGGTGACTGCAGGGCCACTTTCGACCTGCGCTCGTAACGCTTCCACTTCCTCATGGAGCTTCTCGCTGTGTTCTTGCAGGACATGTTAATTGTGTTTAATCTCCTGTAGCTTGTTCTGAGTGGATTCGATGACCGCAGTTTGATAGCGGATAATGTCTTTCAGGGTTCTGATGACTTTCCACACCTCCTTGGTGGTGACTCGACCCGAGTTCTCCGATAGTGCAAACGCATCACCGCTCAGTGCTCGCTTACGGCGTTCGGTGGCGATTCGAGGGATCCGATGTTTGCTCTGGGCTGGAAATCTTCCATCGAGGAGCTAGTGGGGGTTTCTTGGGGGTTTCTAAAGTTGTGGGAGGGGGTTCGGGCCCTCCCGTAGGTGGGTCCTTCCTGAAGTCGTCGGTCCGGGGTTAGTTCCTGCTCAAGTGCTCGGCACACAACCACAGGTGAATACATATATCGAGAGTAATATCAACCACCTCCGTTCTTCCAGAGGTACCTTTTGTGGGGTCCCCTTCGCACTCTCCAAATTCGTATATTACATACGTCGTAAAACCTATATAAAGCTTCAAGCCCACAAAGCTATCTACATTAGCAAGAACAATTGTGTTTGCCCTTCAAAATATAGTCACTTTGAAAACAGTAGAGAAAAAAGTTGTTGAATTCTATTTTGAATGATAATATATATGTCTTTAGGTTCTCGCTTATCGAAAGTGTCGGCCGTATTCTCTCACCCCCTACATCGTTTTGTGTTCTGAATACATATCTAACTGAGAAGATGTTGTTTGGAAATGTATCCCTGATGTCAAAATCAGCTCTATACTCTCACCTTTGTCTATAGTGATTCCATATAATCCCAGATCCATCCTTGGTATTGGTACCAACCACGCGACTGAACATGCTCAAGTGACAGTAGCGGACAGAGTGTAGCCCGTTTTCGCGCACCAAGCCCGTTCTAACGCTTCCCCTAGTTCTAGATAGACAGGTTTTACTGTCGGACGACTTTGGAAATTTCCATCAAAACACTGCGTTCATGGCATAGTACAAAGAGTGATTTGTTGTCATCTAAAAGAACCCGGTTCCAGACTTCAGGAGATTGCCTTAAGTGCCGCTACTAGCGTTACTACTCACAATATGACCAGCGAGTTATAGTTGCTGGAAACGAATGATGAAGTTTGCAAGATTCTTTGATCAAGCACACGGTGTGGCGTCATCGTCTCTAGCGTCCAGAGTGAACACCAAAGTGAGCACTAATGTGGTGATTGTGTTTACTCAGGACAAGTGCTCTAGGTGGGAGATAGGGAAATTAAGCATGCTTGGGTGACCGTGTAAGTAGTCGGTTTTTTCTGAGTTTTAGTATGCGTGAAGGACAGAGAGATTGACTTGGAGTAAGACTGCTGTTTTGTGATAATCCATCGCTAAGCACGAGACTTGACTGATTCATCGACCGTCGACAGTGACACCGATATATATGTTTACATCCACGGACCCTTTGATATATACTTATGCCTGAGAAATTGCAAACTACATACGAGCTGGAACCGAGTCTCACCAGAGGAAGTGTGCCTGATGTTGGTCCTTATCTTTAGTGCTCCCCATGAAAATATCAAGACCGTGGTGGTTGGACATATACAGGCTGCGTTAGTTTCTTTCAGGTATTGCCTTCAAGATCCCTGAGATTCTCGTTCTTGCGGACGTTTTCCAAATGTAACAAAAAAGAAAATTTAGCTTTCAAAGAATGATCTTACATATCCCCCCGGCTAGAGCCACGCCGGAGCTTATGACAGCGCTTGTCATGGTCTTGGCGCTATAATGGCCCCGCCGAATGTCAGAAGAGATACTTCAAATTACCGACATGGCACCCTTTGAGTTGGATTGTAGCAACCAGTCCGTGAGAACTTCTTTCATTTGCGGTATGTATGTATTGTTTCTGAACCCGTCTTCCGTCGACCTGAAGCTTTCTTTGTAACGTGGCCTCCAACACATCCGATACTTACGTGATTGACGATTCTTCCGAGGCAACTCGTGCTTTTGCATTTGGGGTCCGTAAGAATATTGCGATGGCTAGGAGGCTAGGTGCCTAATTTTGATAAAGATCATTTCTTTGTAAAGGTGCCTTTTGTTTCAGCAATATTATACCGCAACCCCTCCTACGTACAGGAAAAGTGTCTCCTGAATATCCTGTGGACGCCACGATTGAGATGTTTCTACATCCCATACAAATTGAACGACACACCAAGGACAATAAACTTAAGTAGAGCACCACGTAACCGTTCAAATGTTGGTAAACTAACGAGTGCTATATGTTGTGACGCTTCAATCCAAATGTGTGGGACTGGTATTCCAGCTGCCAGGACCACATGGACCGACAAGATCAAACAAATAACAGAATGAAGGAGGCTGCTACCAAAAATGATTGGGGGCAGGAGAACGATGCAGCACCGGTGTAAGTGTGATTGGTTGTTGTCGAAAGTGGGAGGTTGGCTGAAGTTGATTTTGTGCGGTACGCAGATACGGACGCTGTTCGCCGTGCATCATATTGACTGGCTGCTAGCGGTCTTTCTGGAATACCAAATTGTATCCGCGTGCTCGTTTGTGCTTTGGTTGAAGGATTCGCAAGATGTCTTGCGGAACTTTTCCCAGTGATAGCGAGGGGTGTTGTCGCTGAAGTTGAGTTGGCAGACCCTTGGCAGTAAAAAAGAAATTGTTGAAATTCAGGAAGCACTCCATTCCAGGATCGCGACGCAGGTACCGACTTGACGCAGGATTGACAACCACGAACCAAAGTCAAGAATGCCGAATCCGAGTAACAAAGATCCCCGGTTTTGCCGCTCGATTCTGCTTCGAGCATTGCATTGTTACACCCAGCATAGCATTTCCCGGGTATTTTGAACGCCCACTCTCGCTTCCACTCCCAGTCAGCCTGATTGAAATTAAATATATCATATCCCAGGCCAAACTCGGTAGGATTCAAGTTGAAATAGCCGGGGGTGACGTTGTAATGCTCTATCCGATCAAATGTAGCCAGAGGACCCGGTGGGGGGGGAAGGTCCAGTTTGGGGCTCCGTATACACTCTTCTGGGCGACAGAAGTATGTATCCGCAGGAGGTCCAGCTTCGAAATTGCATTCCCCATCATCTGTTTGTTTGGACGGGTTGCAGAGAAGATGCGGCGGACAACCCCAGGTATAGTTTTTCGGGAAAGGTGACAGAGGCGCGAAGGTTGGATTGATAATTCTGCTTGGGCAAATTGAGAGCGATGACCCTTTGTCTGTTGGACTTGGTTTTTGCCCATTGAGATTTGATCTCTCACTTGATGTGGAACTTGTGGGCAAGACTGAATCTTCGACATCAATTGTCCCCGTGACACTGCTGGACATATCTCCCAATGAGGATGTGCCATCGAGTGATAAGACTGGTGTTTCGGTTGAAGCTATGATCACCGATATCTGCATATTCTGGGTAGGCCGAGCTAGCGCTTCTTCGCTTCCTGGGGTTGCTTCCTGGAAAGGATTTGTTGCTGTCGCAGCTACTGAGTCCCCCGGTACCCCCAAGCTCGACAAAATGGCATTTTCGGCGCTGATGAAACTTTGAGTCTTGGATTGGGCCACAGTTTTCTGACTGTTGATAACAATCGTCGTATAGGTCGTATAGCTTTGCTTTATGCCAATCCCTTCGTCCGAGAAATCCTCGGATGTGGTGCTCAATGCGACAGTGCTGTCTGCCAGGGATGAAGTCACACCATTCGTGTCATAGGTTGGATTGGTCACAGGTTGAATTGTCTTTTCAGTCGTTGTACCCGATGGACGATGACCCGAAGATATCCAGACGTGGTCAGTGATTGTCTCGGTGTGGGTAACAGTGGCATTACTCCACTGGATTGCAGTGCTAACATGATTGACAGTGACTGTGGTAGGTCTGTCATAAGTAGCGGTGTCTCCAATTGAGATATTGCGCGTACTGGATCTTGCGCCCGTGCCTTCCGTTATTGTAATGGTTTCAATGGAAAGAAAGGTTGAGGTAGTACCCAGGAGTACGGTGCCTGGGTCAGAGGATCCTGACGGTGCAACTGTAGTTGTGATGATGCTCGTAACGGTCGTGGCTCTCCATTCTGTAACAGTTATCGGTTCATCGGCAGTGACCGCAGTGGGTATTACCGAAATGAGTTTTGTCGGAGACGGAGCAGCTTCAGTGCTTGTTGATCCGATTGTGCTTGTTGATCCGATTGTGCTTGTTGATCCGATTGTGCTTGTTGATCCGATTGTGCTTGTTGATCCGATTGTGCTTGTTGATCCGATTGTGCTTGTTGATCCGATTGTGCTTGTTGATCCGATTGTGCTTGTTGATCCGATTGTGCTTGTTGATCCGATTGTGTTTGTTGGCCCGATTGTGCTTGCTGATCCGATTGTGCTTGTAAATGTCGCCGTCGCGGATGCTGAGGTTGGCGATGAGGAGACCGATGTAATAATTGCATCGCTGCTAACAAACCCTGTGGAAGAGGTTTCTGTGCAGGTACAGTCGGTTGTATCCGTCAATGTTGATGTTAGCGTTACAGTGACCAAGTCCCTGGCAAAACGCGATATGGAGCGTTTTGTTATCACCACTAGCCTCCCTTCTTGACACCGCGGGAGCTGTTGGTATGGTACAGGGGAAGGCAGGTCCGACGCAATCAAGACCCCCAAAAACTGCAGTAACCCGAGCACGACCAGAACGACTCTGCTATGCATCATGATTGGGGGAAGGAATGAATAAAAGTTATTGGAGTAGCTACAGTATATTTATACGTCGCTTAGATTGTCTGAGGAGGTGCGATGCAAGCTTTTGCAACGGGGAAAAACTATGTCTGTATCATCCGAAGGTAGCGTCAAAATTACAAATAATACGAAGAGGCTTCACAAAAGTTATGGCAAATGCATGGGATATGGAAGCCGATCTGAAACAACACCCGGGACTCCAGGAAGTATGTATGCAGACGACCAAGTTGGTTTGGAAATCAACTTGGTCTATTGTTGTATATATAGGCACATCTATTACTCTGAAATAATAAGTTAACAATACCTCTGAACTACAACAGTTGTGGTTGATTCTGCGAGGGATTTTCGCTTTGGCCGCTTACGTTATCAAGTCTTTCCCATATCTGAGATCCTCGACGTTAATCCCGCCATTTTGCTTATTCTCTAGTTTTGAATTGCAGTCGCGATAATATCATCATGGACAATAAAGCAGATTCATCAGTATCTCTGTGATAAACAAAAGCTTACTAACGTTCCGAGAGAAGTCTTCCCTTACGTCCACGTGCTAGAGCGAACACATTGTGTTGTGGAAGTTTCCTGTGTTGTGGAAGTTTCAGTTTCAAATACCATGCCGCATATACCATGCCGCATCATGAGGTCCATAGCATGAAGCAAAAGGCCTGGAAGGATCCAGGTAAGATGATCGAGTTGAACAAATGGCTTCTTGGTTTAGATCATATTTTCGAAAACATTGGCGCTTAACTTTAGAAATCAACAACCGAGAGATTATAGATCTCTATATTTCAGACCTTCCTGCGAGATACTTCTGTACTCATCTACTGGAATTATGTATCCACCGTTCTTTGCAGATTCTCCTCACTGGAAATTATATCTCTCAAATTGAAACTGTCAATTACCATCTGCAATGCTGACAGTATAGAGCAAGTCTTGGACGAGTTCAACGGTCGCTACTTGCAGTACACCAGATCGGTGGTCGTGCGGGCCTATTACTATATGCTTTTTATAGATGCACCCGCAATTAGTCCTTTGCAGTACTTTACGCAATCATAGACTCAGATTGATCTTTCAAACGCTCTATCAGGTAGGTCTCATGACTCATTCGCTTATAGAAGATTTATAGTTGCCAGGGTTTTCCCTTTTATCTCTGAATTCGATCCAAAACCGGTACATAAATATCCCCCTTTCCTAAGGTGCAGGCAGCTTTCATTCTTCCCAATACCGATGAGTCTACATGGTGCGAGATTCTGAAAGACAGATTACTTCAGGTCCTTTGGGGAGGGAGTCTAGGTTAGTTGTATCATCGTAATATGTGCTTATAGCAGGTAATTTGGGGTGGAGGTTTCTGTCTGTCACGATGTTTAAGCAATGCAGTCCTTCTTCCATCGTATCGAGCTGACTTGCCATGCAGGTCTCCAAGAGAAATCCGAATCAAACAATCGAGCAACTACATCGGAGAGAGTTTCATGCCGTTCCACCTATGGCCAAATACCACCTTTCACCGCCCGCAACTGGAGAGTGAAGTTGTTGCGAACTCTTGGACAGTTGGGACAATCTTTGTTGGTCAAAACACAATCATTACTCACCTGCCCATAGAACTGATTCTCCATATCATCGGATATGTGGATCACAAATCTCTGCGCAACTTGACCCTGCTAAACAAACAATTTAGGCAAATTGTCAATCCGCGTCTGTTTCAGGCCGTCAAGCTCAAGAGGTGTTGCGGCAATTTCCACGAAGAGCCTCCCACGGTCATCTTTTACTATGCGCATTCAATCAACTATGTAGCATCTTGGTGCAGCGCATTGGGTACGTTTCCATCGCAAGTGAACAGCCGCCATGTTGACTTAAGCTAAGAGTCTGGGACAGACATAAAAAAGCCATGGAGTGATTTCAACTCTGAAGAAACACCTTCAAATACCACCTCACTTTCATCGTTTGCCCAAGACGTAGAGCTTCTCGCCACGATCTTACGCCGCAGTCGTAAGCTCTGTTCTCTCAAACTGAGCTGGGAACCTTGCCAACAGCCATTTTCATATGTCAAAACGTCCCCTTCACGAGAATCACTTCAATGGCATCTACACGTACTTCTTGCAGCCATGGATAGTGGACCCCAACAGATGGAGCTGTTGCAGAGTCTCACTGTTGATGTTTTTCAGTCACATGACACCATCGACGAACTGAATATAACCAAGAAATTTTTGAAGGCAGTGTCGAAGGTAAAGAATCTCACATTGAGAGGACAATTTGGATTTTGGGAACCAGTTCTCTCCTTTAGCCCTGGGACCGGTTTACGGTCAATCAGATTCAGCGACTGCGCAGTCTGGCACCATAACCTGAAGTCTTTTGCCAAGCGTGCAATCGAAGGGGTGATATCCATTCATCTCGAGGATGTTTTTATTCGTCCATACAAGGAACTAGGATACGTTACGCAAACGGGCTCACCAATTGAGATAGTGGACTGGCTGGATCAAATCGTGCAATCAACAACTAACCAGACCAAAGTTTAACTCTTTGTGTTGAAGGTCTATTTCACCCCGATAAGAATGAAGCGATAGGCATCCAGAATCCATTGCTCAACTTTCCGTCCGTCTTTTGGCAACTTGCGTAATCAGCTTACCGGAGCAAACGAACTATATTCGAAATCTATCTCTGCGCTTGCTTTTTGTATTTTTTACTCGGACTATTGGTTTCCCCAGTGCAGGTAGGAACATGGGAGCATTGTGCATATTTGAGAAAGCATGAGAGGAGGAACTAACTCTCCTTGCTGTAGATTCTGCGTTGGGCTTAAAGTACAGCTCCTTGGCGAAAAAGCCGTAAATTTACCATCCGTTCTTCTCTGTTCTCAGTATTCTCATCTTGATTAAAAGATCAGCCCCGACCAGCAATGAACACAATTCCGCCATAGCTGGTAATCACGTCTATTCCGCAGAACTTTTATTTTGTCATACTTTAATCAGCAGGAAAGAGATTCAACCTCGTGATAACGTAAGTGATCGTCATAAGGCACAAGTAAAACTGATTCAACCAAAGAGTGAATGAGTCTCTTATGTAACGTTTTTTGTTATGTGTGAGTGCAAGCAAGCTTCATGTAAACGGTGGTAAAACATGTGCCGAATTGGTAAAAATCCTACTCATAAATACATGTAAATGTAATATACAAGTTCTTCCTGAAGTCTCAGGTGGCCTCGCTCGATAATAGTGGAATATGTCCAAAGTTGCCATTCAATAACCATTAGCTGCGGTTATCTTGTTGAAAATATATTACTTAATTGAAGTACCGGTAACCGTGGGTAAAGGTCATGACATTCTCATAACTCCTATGTAGACCACCGCCCATGTTTCTGTATTCTGCAATTCAGGGACTGCAATGGGGTGCCGTCCCTCAAATTTCCACCCCCTTTAGGGACCGGTCAGTTTGAAACATTTCCCCCACGCACGTTGGAGACAAAGAATACGGACCACCCATCTCGTTCGATTACTTACGCGTCAGCTTTGTACCTGAGAAGTAACCGTATCATTTCCCTGTCACTGTTCAACATAGCCCATCTCAGGGCTGTTTCGCCATTAATACCGGGTTCGTTCGGGACTGCGCCATTTTGGAGAAGTAGCTCAGCCACTGATATGTTTCGGTGGATTACAGCCCACATAAGAGGCGTCTGGCTGTCCGGTTGGGTATGACCAACACTGGCGCCATGATATAATAGTAGTTGAACCATATCCACGTTCCCTTTCATCACAGCCCAAACGAGCGGTGAGTGCTCTGCTCCTTTCCTCGCCGATAAAGTTGCAACACTTGCACTGTGAGAGAAGAGAAGATTTGCCATTGCGAGGTCATCCAATTCGACAGCCCAGACAAGAGGCAGGTAGCCCCGGCTATCGGGTTGCTCCACATTGCAACCCGCCTCCAGCAGTGTGGCGGCCAGATCGAAACAGCCTTCCATGATGGCCTGAATCAGTGGGGTCAGCCCGTAGCGGACAACCTGATCTGGATCTGCCCCTCGTTTCAGCAGATTCCGCGCTAATTTGGCTCTTTGTCGCTTGGCGGCCCAGAAGAGAACACTTTCACCGTGAGCATTTTGATGATTGATATCCGCCCCTTTCTCTAGCAACATTTGAACAACACTCTCATTGTGGTGCCGAGCTGCAAGAATCAAAGGGGTATCGTTTCTTCTAGCCTCTGGGGCGTCCAGAAACGCTTTGTGTTGAGGGTCACTGATCAGGAGTTGAACAACATGCCCATATCCCTTCATAGCCGCGTAGTGCAGTGCAGTCATTCCATGGGCGTCACGAACCCGGACATCGATATATTTGGTGTTCACAAGAAACTCCACCGCCGAATGCTCGCCTCGAAGGGCTAAGAGGTGGAGAAGTTTGCATCCATGGAGTAGAGGCATCAGAATGCTCCTCGTACGCCTGTCGATGGCACCCATAGTGAGAAGATCCTTCACTGAGAGCTTTCTCACTACGAGAATGCAGATCTCGACCGGCACTCGATTCATCGAATTGCAAGATTTCATCACCATTGCACTAGTCCCGAAATCAGAAGGGTTGATAACCCAGGAGCCTGTCTGCTACTTTATAGATGCCCGAGGGGATAATGTGACAGACCGGCTAGCCTCCCCTTTCATTCATGAATCCATCATCAAATCACACTATATACGGTGATCAATCTCCCTTATATCTAGCCGATTTGCGCACATTCATATTCTCCTTTGTTTGGGTTCTCAAATTGAGTAGCTGTCATCTCTATCCGAAGAAGCCGAAGTATCACTCAACAATTGCAGCTCGAAGTGATCCGGATGCGATATTGAGTATACTTGCTTGTCCGGATCTGGTTACTTTCATATTCTGAGCTATATTCCGCAACCGAATAGTAGGATCACAAATAGAAGAAGTGCAGTAAAACATGAATCATAGACCCGACAAGCACTGCAGTCCTTCTGCCAGGATCCCAATAGAAACATCCTAACCTAAACAACAGCTCACCTCTTCATATCACTAGTCTATATGAAGTGGCAGAATATATTACCAAATTCATACCGAACGCCTTAACTCTACATTCTTCCAAGCTCTTCTTTGCTACTTGTAAAATAGTCCACAACACAGCAAAGGTACCCAACAGATTTATGAAACACAAGCGTGTGTACAGAATCTTTCCTTTTCGAGCCATCGAGCCATCGACCAAGAAGACGTCAAAAGAAAGCTCAACTATATCAAAGAAAGCGAAATTAACCCTTTGATTCGCGCTCCTAAGCCAGAATCATAGAGCTATGCCTTCACCAAGGAATGTTTTCATTCGTAGAGCTCTATACTCTACATCTTTATACATAGAACTGGAAGAATAGAAAAAAGATGGTTCATAGATAGTGTTCTTGAAATGAAGCAAAATTCCCTCTAATCGTCACACTGCAGAATAAGATAGTCTGGAGAGTCCCTCCCTAATCCTATTCTATCTGCCAACGCGTTCTTTTCTTTTACCTACTTAGGAAACAGTAAATAAAGTAAATATTTCTCATCCCTCTAAATAAACAAAGTCTTTGATTCTAGATTTGACAGTCCCATCTATAAGATAGGCTGGTCAATAACTCTAAGATATTTTCAACTATTTCGAGATAAGTCTTCATTAGCTTTGGTCAAGAAACTCTAGATAAGAAATTGCCGTAATGCACACGCTGATCTGAAATGCAAGACTAGGTGCAACTTCAGCGGAATGATGTTCTAATGCGGACTGGAAGATAAAGAGAGAGAGTTGGGAAGTGAAATTGACTTTAAATATTGTAATGCATTCGTGTCGGGAACAGTTCAGTAGAAGGTTGGCCTGGAGAAAACACAACTGTACTACAAATGCTATTCCAGGATGTTAGTAAGAGAGTACTTTAATAAGGCTGAGAGAGGATTGGGATATTACGTTACAATGACAATAAAAGCCCGTCTTCATTGAAGGACCGAGGACGAATTTGTCAATAAATGGTCATATTTTTCTCGATGTATCCTGCATAAATTTTCATTTACAGGTATCCTAGCTGGATCAATTCATAATGACTTCTGTAGGAAAACTTGACTAAAACGGACTAGATACCAATTCCCTCGATAAAGGCTGCGTTACGGGCTCCAAATTGGCAAATCGGCCTTTCTGGGATTTTTTGAAATGCACTGTTGATCCTCCTTTCCAGCTCTTCCTTTTCGAGCATTCCTTGCCAACTCAAGCTTGAAAGTGTTGATTTGTAGTAGCAGGCTTGAAGATAGTGGGGTGTGAAAGTATATGTATACGAACTGTTGCTTTGCAAAGATTCCCGGTATTTGCTTTTATTCTGAATCGATAGCATGCGTGTGATCATGAGTAGTAGTAAGCTCCGACTAGTTCGGCGCACTTCCTTGTTTCGTCGGATTCGCCGTCGTCGCATCAGACTCACCCAAAGCGATCTCAACTTGCTGCGACCTTTAAATGGTTGTGAGTGGCTTCCGCCTCTTATGATGAACTTCATCGTCACTTCTATGGAGACCTTATGTCACAAAAATCATAGTCGGTTATGGATTGATCCGGTGAAAGTTATTCTGGAAAAGGACTACTTTGACCTGAAGCTTTCACCACACCGACCGATTGAAAACACACAGAGAAGTTTCGACTTTCCCCAGCTTGATGACGCAGAAAATTATTCAGTAGAGCGTTGGAACTTTTCCGCTCTCGGGGGCATTCTGGATAAATACCTGGGGTTTTCGACCGCGGGAAAGAGAGGGAAACGTCTCAAACGGAAATATTTCATACACATTCTTTGTCTTCACTCTATGAAATCCGTAATTGATGGGTTTCTGGAAAGCTTCGTCAAGGCAAAAGACCCTTCCATTGGATATGTGGAATGCTATGAGATTTTGCAAAGACTAAATTTGCAAATCAGAGAATTTGGAATTTGTCCGTTATATAGATGCAGTTCACCTGGAACAACTACGTACTATTAGCCCCTTTGTCTCTATTAGGCTAGTGAATGACTTCCAATCCTTTTTTTTTTGGCCTGAGGTACCACAAAGCGGTCAACTATAGCGTATACCGACCAATCACAGGATGTTGCGAGCTCTCTCATTATCCCTGCCTCTGGCAATTTATACCAGGGTTCAATTACTTGCAGAATAATCCAGGGGTTTTGCCCAGGTGGCCTCAATACAAGCTTGCTGACTATTTGACGGTTGGACCATGGTCTGTAGTAGAGTCTGGGCATCCAAGTCATTGAAGCTATGTATTATTACCCAAAGAAGAAAGCAATCCTGGGATCGGGGATATAACTAAATATGGTAGTTCTAAATCCTGAACGATTATAGGTGATTCTGAGAGTGCTGGCAGGTGTGTCTTCAGCAATCTATACATACATCCGAATCAAATTTACGCGGAGCATAGTAAATTGCATCAATTCCATTCAAATAATCCCTCCAAACAACGTGTACGCGAGTATGCAAGCCTCATTGTCAAGGTCTTCAATCACTCTTTTCATTCAAACACTGAACAATCATGGTGTAAATAGTCAGAGGTGGAGATAAATGGACCAAATCTATCTCAATAGAAAGAATTTAAATGTTGCTTCCACCAAGTCCTTCACTTTCATCCATTCTGGACTCCATCCCCGTAATGCTGGCTTCTGGGTGCGAATCAACGGTCGGAACATTTGAGCATCACAGCTGAGCCAATATCTATACGTACCAATGTAGAAGTACGTGTTTGCCCTGACCTTTGCGTACGCAAAGAACTAATGGGGCAAAGTTAAATATCAGTATTCAGATGTCTATTTCGGCTCGTGTGAGATGGCTGATAAAAGTAGAACTCCAAGCTCCATTTCAGGCCACGCTGGGTCAAGTCTCGTGACTGTCGCGTTCACTGTGACAAGTTTGGCTACAACTCTCGTAGACGGTGAAAGCTTTTGTGTCATGATTCAATGCAATTCCTACATCGACTCGCCATTACATAAATATCCATGACGAGCAGGTACAGATGCAACCGCTATCGCTTTCCTTGCTGGGTCAATATCTAGAACTTTAGAAGCCGTTCTAAACCCTAATCCCATATTACGCTAACCGGAATTTTGTTGGTCTGTATTTTGAGTCTATTGGCCAGACTAGTCCAGGATATCGGGGCCATTTCCGCTGTTTCGGTCGCGTCTTCGGAGAGCAGCCATATCGACAACTGTGTTCGTCTCGGGCTCGTGGACATTGTCTGTGGAAGTTGAGGGATGGGAAAGGCTTTCGCTCCTTGGTAGCGTCTACGGAGAGCATCCATATCGACAGCTTGGTTCATTTCAAGTTCGTAGGCGTTGTCTGTAGCGGTTGTTGGGTGATATACCACTAAATTGATAGGTTGCTGCTGGTAGACCTCCGTATTAGGCCTGGTTGCTCAAGTGGGTAGGATGATTAAGCAAACCTGTATTGGGCGTTGGGCTCAATTACTTAAGTAGTATAGCCCAGTAAACCCTCGGGCCCAATTCGGGGGCCTATATAGCCCCAATAAAGCCCAGTTCTGTACAGAAACGGCATACTTATTAATATATAAATTCTACTCACATTCTGGTACGTAAAGTTCCGTCACAAATGACCTAATTTACCGGCCTAGCTCAATGGGGGGGGGTTCAACTGCAAATGAGGTGTATAGATGCCAGTATATATTTTCGCTCTTCGCAGAAGTGATGCATCTTCCTACTAAGAAATCGCTTATGTCGTCCTGAAGTCCTGAAGTTGACGGTGTCGTAGCCCTTCCCAATTCGATCTAAGGCGTCTGGCGCATCCAATCCGCTTCCTCTCTCCTGAAGTCTCTCTCTCTCTCTTGCACCGCGTCACTGAACCAGATCTGTTCCCAAACTTGACCTAAGACCAAGGTATCATGGGAAGTTGGGCTTTTTTTCCATAAAAGAGCCGGGGCTAACTTGGCCAGCTCTACCGCTAGCTACTGCCAAAGCGTCAAATGCAAATTCATGCTTACCCTGGTCAGCCGTTCGGAGTGATTCACTGGAACGACCTCTTGGGGGCGATGAAAGATCGTATCTGAACAAAGCTCGAGCGATGACCAGTTCCAGCTCTAGCAACGCGAGATTCATGCCGACGCAGCGTCGCGGGCCTTCTCCAAATGACCTGAAGAATTCCAAGCTCAATTGTTTTCCATCTAATGACAACCACCGTTCTGGTTGAAACTCGTTCTCTTTCTCGAATATCGCCTGGTTTCGGTTGTACGAGCTGAGAGATACGCCCACATTGGTGTTTTTGTGCACAATGCAACCATCGATCTCAGCCATTTTAGCCCGCACAACGCGAGGGGATAAGTTGGGGACTGCTGGGACCAGACGCATGACCTCTCGAATACAGGCTCGGAGATAGATGCAGCTTGCTAGTCTAGGCCCTGAAGTGATCTCTTTTTCGTCATTGAATATCTTCCGTACACCCATGGTCGCTTGATGAAGGATTTTTGGATGGTGGATAAGATAAAAGAAGACAGCACCCATCGTCGTGGACGTTGTGTCAGAGCCTATATCCACTTTCTGTTAGCAGCCACCTCTACCTGTCCTAGCCCCTGGCCCCCACGAAGAGAATGATGAACTTACCTGCCGCTAGCAGCAGAACGCTTTCAGTCCAGATCCTATCTTCCGTGTATGTGCGGTCAGTTTTCTTGTCTTTGGCCCCGCGGAACAGCGCGAAAAGGTCGTCTTGCTCGACGCCTGCTGTAAGGCGTGTGCGAGACTTTGACCGCGTCCACCGACCCAGTTTGATGATTGAGCCGAAGCTGGGAACGATCCTATAGAGAAATATGAGGTACCGGAAGCGGGGCTGTACCATGCACTGTTTTCCTTTCGTTAAACCGCGTGAACAGGGGTCTCTTCCAGTATACATACAGTCATTACCCACCGGGACATGTTCCTGTAGGCAGATACCACCCACCGGAATTCCGCAGAACGCAACAAGCTGAGAGAATCGCCATAGAGGAGGTCACTGATGATATCCAACGAAAGCCAGTTACAGAGGTCCTGCAAATCATGTTCGCCTGCCCCAAGAAGGTCGATGAAATGGTCAATATGAGGCCTCATCCGCTCCTCGTTGCCAGCTGCCCTCCGCAAAGAGAACATCTCGGATATTGTCCGGTGTTTGAATTTGTGCTCCTCGTTATCAACTGTACTCAAGATAGTGGGCTCAGAGGGATCGACACTGAAGCATTGCCAGATATCAGGCTTGCCTATAACCTCTTGGCTTGCTGCGTAGATGTCACGCAAGCTCCTGGAACTATCAAACGATAATTCATTCGGTCCAGAGCGAAAGACAGGCCCTTGAGTAGATGGATGAGCGTGCGATCTCCGAACGAACCTAATCCGACTCACCATATCGATCGTGACAATGTCTGTTATGTGTGTGTAGAGTTCCCCTCCATGCATAGAACGCTGGATACCAATGAGTAGCAGCAGCAAGCCAAGGTCCGGGGTGATGTGACAAGGGATGGAAATATATTCTCCGGATCACCGTGACCAATATCTGGGCTAAATTATTAGGTGTCCAGTCTTGCTATGATTGCTCCACATACACAAAAGGCCGACAATGCCAGGAACAAAATAAGACACATGGAGAGTTGTGTTCCATATAATTCCGCAATGTCACATTCGAAAAAAGCCATCAGTGTGATCGTGTGGTCTGGATGGGTTTGACCAAAATGATTTGAGCATAGGCACTTCACGGTGCACAGTTACTATATAAACCTTCACTGCTCAAGTGCTGCGTGGAGCTTAGTGAAGCGAGAGGACCGGGAACAGGCATTCCGTCTCCTCTCCGCTATATATTGTACAACGCCGTGTGCTTGTTGAGTGTTGTTCTGACGTAGTAGTGAGCGTGATGACGCCAGCAGAAGTCACAGTTAGACGATCATTTGGAACGCATGAGTATTTGGTTATATTAAAAGCATTGAATGGATTGAAAGCCCATTACCTTTGTAACGGTAAGGATTTTGTAATGAAGGACTTCAGGAAGTATCGAAAGCCTTCCAGGAGAAAATTTAGATTTCTACATCCACACCACATGGGATCAAGCAGACATGGAATTGAGTGATGGTTTTGCAAAACAGAGGGTGGTAGGCGTCGAAAGGGCCCACAAACCTTACCACACAAGCCACTATGAAAGGAATCGTGATTTGGATGGGTTTTGTTCAAGTTACCTATGCTTCAATTCAAGTTTGTTTGAAGCTCTAAGTTGCCAGATCTAAGTTGCCAGATCTTGATGTGTCTGATCATCCCTACAGTCTTAGCGTACATAACTGTTTGCTATCCCGTATACCCTAGTTGACACGAGTATGGAAAGCTGACTAAAGGCCGCCGTAAGAATAATGAAGATAACTCTTTGACTTCTAGAGCTATGTTTCAATGTGCAAATAAGTTCATTGGTCCAGTTTGCATATAAAGGTCCTTTGAATCCAAACGCCAAAGGACGCTGCGTCGCGCTGGGGCACGTCTCATGAACGAAGGCTCGTTGTGGTATAAGATGATGCCTGCCGCCATGTTGCTTTTCTTCAATTTTGGTTTGATAGTATGGGCTGTTTCATCAGCTGATTTCGCTCACAGAGGCGTTCTAGCCACCAATCAACTGACCAATCGTCTTGTATTTGCCCATTTCATGGTATGTTCAGAGCAGGGAAGACATCCGATCAATATGAACAACCCATTGACATTGACCTATCAACAGATTGGGTCAACCAGTAACCGCCAGAACACATCTGACTACGACGAGGATATGCGGCGCGCAAAGTCTCTGGGAATTGATGCCTTCGCCTTGGACATTGGTGTAGATACGTACACCAATCACCAGCTCGACATGGCATATGAATCTGCTGCACAGAATGCGATGAAAGTCTTTATTTCGTTCGATTTCAATTGGTGGAAGACCGACCAGGCAGTAAAAATCGGCGAGATGATTGCTCACTTTGCGACTAGGCCCGCTCAGCTGATCGTCGACAACAAAGTGTTCGCTTCGACTTTCGCAGGAGACGGACTAGATGTACCAGCATTGAGAGCCGCCGCTGGAATTCCAATTTTCTTTGCACCCAACTTCCATCCAGGGCTTGGCGCTGACGTCTCCTCCGTTGATGGTCTGTTCAACTGGATGGCTTGGCCCAACAATGGAAGAAACAAAGCACCCACTCCGCACAGCAATGTTTCTGTCGGCGATGGCGACCGGGTATATATCAACGCGCTTGCAGGAAGGCCCTACATAGCTCGTGAGTAATCTTGCGCCCACATCCCATCCTTTTGTATCCATCATGTTCGTTCAGCTGAACCTCGGAAAGCCGTGTCCCCATGGTTTTTTACACACTTTGGACCCGAAGTTTCCTACAGCAAGAACTGGGTATTTCCTTCGGACTTGCTTTGGTACGATCGATGGCATGAGATATTGACTATGCTGCCCCGCTTCATTGAGATAGTGACATGGAATGATTATGGCGAGTCCCACTATACGGGCCCTTTGCATGCGCCCCACACTGACAACGGGGCTTCTAAATGGGTCAATGATATGTATTATATGCCCCCTGTGGATTTGTACCAAGCTCTAACTTTCATAGGCCCCATGGCGGATGGTTGGAGATGGCCAAGCCATTTATTGCTGCATTCAAGGCAGGAGCATCTTCTCCAGATGATTACATTACCTCTGACCAGTTGATCTACTGGTATCGCCCTGCACTGCGCGGTGAAGATTGCGACTCCACAGATACATGTACTGTTCAAGCGAACAACAGTAGTGGGGATTATTTCTTTGGTCGGCCAGGTGGCTGGGAATCTGTGCGTGATTCTGTGTTCGTGGTCTCATTGCTACAGAGTCCTGCATCGATCCAGATCAACTCCGGTGGCAGACTGTACCAATATGATGCGCCAGCAGGAGCATTTTCCCAAGTAGCACCCATGAAGTCCGGAGATCAATCTTTCTCAGTTTACCGTGATGGAAAGACTATCCTTGCGGGGACAAGTCTGAAACGAATTATCGATGGCTGTGTCTGTGGACTTTATAACTTCAACGCTTACGGTAAGCTCTTGGCTCATCAGCCTTTTATCTCGAGCTCTAACCTTCGGGTCTAATTCTCGTTGTGTAGTCGGGACTCTTCCCCCATTGATTCTAGATACGCTACAAGCGGACGGATTGGTTTCTTTTTCTCACGGATTACAAGTCCAAACCTGCAAGCCAACCCCCACACTCCAGGGCCTAGAACCGACAACTAGCGCGGATATTCTTCCACTTCAGTCAACAGATCTCAATGGAGCTTCATGAACAAGTGATCGATGGACAAATTCAACCTGTTCCATGTTCCCTTGCAGAGGTTAGCCGGTTTCACGGGTAATATCATGGACGTGAAGGGGAACAGCTGATCTGGTTGATGGACTTTACAAATGCTATCATGCTTTTTTAAACAAAGAACATTACGATTGTCACTCGATACAACTGGGCTTTTGAATGGCTGGAGTTATCTTCGATGCTTTCCATTTAGGCAATTGTGTGATTCTCGAGAGTCCGATTTAATTTTTGCCCAAATGGCTTTCTGGAAAAGAAATATACACGCAGGTAGTTGAGTACTTGAGCGATATTTTATGACTAGGGATGAGAATATCAAAGATTGTAACTATGGTCCATCCTCGGGTTGTAGAATAAAAATTAATTCCATGGAATCCGCTTCGATGCAGTCACCGTATCCAGATATATAGATCTTATTTCACATACTGTTTCGAAGTCCTCCAAAAAACAACCAGGCAGCCACTGTGTGCTCTTGGATCGGAATGCCGACTAATCCTGTTACACATTCCTACTATTCTCTTTCGATTGCATTGTTTACAGCTGTTCTAGAGGTGATCATCAATCCAAACAAGGAATAATAGGAATGGATGGAGAATCTGGAAAATTTAAATGAAAGAACATGGATTCTATGGAAAGAAACCCCACCGTTGGAAGGAACGGATGCTCTATCGTTGAGCTCAAGCTTAGTGTTTGTATTTGTGCATGTTAACCTGTAGGGAGGGTGCATTTTGCTCCCTCATCACTGTCTGCCTGATTTTTTTTACAAGCAGTCCTTTATTGATACTCTTTCGCTTGTTGTGTTGGAGTACCAATACTTCTTCTGTCTGAAAGAAGGCGGAAATGCGAGTGGCTCCCGTCTTACTGAGACCGAGCTCAACAATTTGCAAACGCTCGTTCAAGAAGTGCCCGGATTTGACTCTATGAGAACACTTTTCGAAGGATGACTCGATAGTGTTTCTAGCTCGACGATGAACCCTTTTTATATCCTGACCCACAACCTCTATAATAAAAACAGAGCCACCGGCTCCCCGGGCTCCTGCCAAGTCCAAACATAAACGTTTGTTTTGGACTTCCTTAAAACCTGGAATGACACGATCATACCGTCCTTGAAGTTGCAAGTCGTGTTCGGTGTGGGCTTTAGTGTCGTCAGTCGAGCCAACTATCTCATTCTGACTCTGGTTTTCCATTGCTGCCTCGCTGGCGTTCTCTCGTTTGGAGGTTGAGGCTGTCCCAGGTGATTTTAGATCATTGGCATTACCACGAAAGTCAGCCAGAGCACTTGTCTCAAGACTTCGTTTCCTCTGTCTCCCATCTGATTCAGGATGTATATTTTGAACCCTATCATGGGGGAAATGATGAGAATGCTCGGTCGCTTCGTTGGAATTTTGGATTTGGGTGGTTTCTGCAATCGCCGGACCTGGGTTGGACGCATTGTCTATATCTATCATACAGATACGAGGTTCGTTCTGTAGAGGCGCAACTGGAGCACTGGGTACCAGTGTAGGTTCCACTGTTGGTATGTCGATGGTGTTAATGCTATGCACAAACGTCGTGCTGGCAGGGTTGGAGAGTGATACGTTTATCTGAGAAGCTCCATCGTCCGATCCACCAGAAGGCATTTCCCCTTGACCGGGAAAATATTCCTGCACGGCCAGTTTCGGTTGCAGATCTTGAGTTGACTCCTGGATCAAGGGGCCTTGTGCCGTGACGAAGGTTGGGTCATTCCAGAATGAATGGCTGGATGTCGCGGCCTGGGGATAATCGGTGGTCTGCTCGGTGCTCATTACACGTTGATTCTCTGACTGGTTCATCAGGCCATGGGCATGAGCATGAGCAGACGAGTGGTCTACATTTCGTTGATCCGAAGGCAATGTTGGCGCCCTGGTCGCGGGAGCTGCGTTGGCACGGTGCACCGGAGGCTCCGCAGAACTATGCCGCCGTCGCATACCCCACTCAGGCGTTGCATCCAGTCGCTCTCTCACAGGGGATTCTACACAAGTGCGTTTGGCGATGGGA